ATCCGTGACGTTGACGTGGACCAGATTTAAGAAAATGAAACAAACCAAAAAAGTTGCACTTGTTTTGTCCGCTGCAAAATGGCACTTGTCAACGAAGTTTTGTCTGTGTGCTGTCACCTGTCAGCTGATTGCTCATGTCATGGTATGCTATGATTCAAGACTCCTGAACTGTTTGCTGTTGTAGTATAGTTCGTTTCGTTTTTAAGACATGTAAAATTAGGAGCACTTTTTAGCATTGTTCTATGTTGGTTGCAAATGTTTTGTCCAATACTGTAAAATTTGGTTTACAGGGTAAATTTTGGTTTACTCTAATTTTTTTTTATTATTATTACTATTATTGGGTTAAGTAAAGTGTTTTAAAATAATTTTTAAAATCTAAACTCACTTTTTAACATCAAAAATTGAGATTTAATGAATTAAAATATTATAAAAATTACGCCATTTTAAGTTTACATCATCTATTCAAAACGGTTAAAATGACTCTATGTTACCGTAACTTACGGCAATATTTCGTAAACCATTCAGGTATAACATACATGTTTTTTGTCAAAATGGCTAAAGCAAAATGTTTAATTTGTGCTTGTTGTTTTATTGCCTTTGGAAAAGGATCAAAAAAACTTATTAAAGTAACTCCTGGAATACAGCACTATATTCAAAACTTATTTTGGATTGAATATGACGTAGACAAAGAGTGTTGTCCGAAAAACATTTGCACTTCTTGCAGAAAAAATTTATATGCATTGAACAGGGGTGAAACATCGAAGTTGAATGATTGGATTGAAAAAATATCTAAAATTAGCAGACAAAAACTCAGAAAATCATGGACATAATGGAAATCTTAGCAAACTATTGAAACCATTTGCGCTGAATGATGTAAAATATTCAATAGAATTTGATCTAAAATGTGGTAACTCTTTATATGATTTAAGCAGCCACAGTGGTAAATATGCTTGTCTCTGGAGTGAAGGAGAAAGTACTCTTGAGAGTGGAGAAAAAAGAACTTTAGGTTCAATTGATAATAATTACAATAAGTTTGTTGCAGATGGATACAAAAATAATCACATGAAAAAATTTAAAAACTGTATTTCTCCTCGAATTGTATATCTCGATGAACCTTTAGAAACTTTATTGGAACATCTTATCTCTCCTCCAGAGTTACACAATTTCATTGGTATTACTTCTATGTTTGTAAAAGTATTAATTACTTTGTGGCCTGATTTTGACACATGGCTTAAATCAAACTATATTATGTTTAGAGGTTACCATGGAATAGGTTTGTGCGGTAACAATTCACAGAGACTTTTAGATAACTTAGATGATCTAGAAGTTAATCTTCTAAGTGCAGCCTCTATGCAGCCAAATATAATATTTCTACAACCTGTAGTTAATTGTCTTAGAAAGTTTTCAATTATTAAAAAAAAAGTTTCAATTCAGTAATTGGAGAATCTATTGTTCAATCAGTTTTAGATTTTAAAAACGTTTTTGAAAAACTGCTGCTTCATCTTCTGGAAAGGTTTAACTATGAATTAAATATTAGCTGGAAAGTTCACATTTTAGTGTGTAATCTTGTTCCTTTTCTTCATCATAGTCAGTTTGGGCTTGGTGTATATGCTAAGCAGACTGGAGAAAGTGCTCATCACTACCACTATCAAGTATAGAAGCAAATCAAGCGTCGTTTGGAACACAATGATTATGCAAAACACCTTAAGAAAAGTGTAGTTGAGTTTGGTATAAACAATTTAAAGTTGCTATTTTCTCATTAAAATTTTTTTTTTAAGTAAGTGTTGCAATTATTGTTAAATTTTCAATAATACCCAGCAAACATTTAGACTAAAAAAGACGTCTTAAATATGTCTTTTATACGTATTAGACGTTTTTTATACATCTAAAAGACGTCTTTTTTAGTCTAAATGTTTGCTGGGTAATCAAATAATTGCTGTTGTTTTAAAAGTATTATTAATAGGAATTTGCATTCCAGTTGTTAATCGTTTTGTTACATTTATTGCATTAAACTTTGTTACTGATAATTTATGTGTCCATAGCTTGATTAAAAAAACAACTGTTTTAAAATCGTAATACCCTATCCATTTTTTTAAAATGTCTTTTTTATAAGATAAACTTTTAAATTTTGGAACTTTTTTTTTTAAAAAAGATGTTTTAACAGAGGAACTTTGGTCTGGAGGAAATATACTAATATCTATTACCTACTACCCCCTCCCCATTTGTTAAAGTATAAGTTATAACTGTTTTTATAAAAAAAAAATATGTATAAAAGTTAGTTTAGATTTTTAAAATTATTTTAAAACAATTTACCAACCCCAATAATAATATTTAAACCAAAAAAAATAGAGTAAACCAAAATTTACCCTGGCGGTCTCAGAAGAGCACAGTGTAGTATTTTATAAGTTATATAATTGAATATGTTTATAGTGGCAATGAAATAGTTACCAACATTTTTAAAAATTCTTATTTAATGTTTATTTACATGCAATTAAAGTATTTCATTTTTTTTACTTAATGCGATCTTTTTTATTACTGCATTGTTGATATCCTGCAGGTTATACAGATTATTAAAAAGTAGAACACATTATCGTGAAAAATAGCATTTTAAATATTCATTTAAATAATGTCCAATTTTATATTTTCAAACCTTTTTAATACAAAGGTCTTGCAAATGATATTTAAATTCTTTTCAATAATATATCATTTTATTTGTTTTTTGTGTGTTCTAAAATAATTTAAGAACTTAATAACTTAAATTTGCTTTGCTGAAAATATGTGGTTGTCAAATGTTAGCCAGCCAAGTATATAGTGTTTTAATAATGAAATGGTTTAAAGTAAGGTTGTAAATTGAAATGGTTTAAAGTAAGGTCGCTGAAAAAAAAACTTGCATTTTTATCTACCGTATAGAATACCGTAATAGAATTGTTATTGCGGAAGTTGCACATGGGAAAATGCACATTCCGTAACGCACTATACGAAAATATAAATAAATAAAGTTCCCTAGTAAAGCATTACGAAATAAAACTTGCGAAACAAATCATTTCGTAAAAATACTTACGAAATAGTTCGTTAAGAACGGAGCATTTCGGAATGTGCAGTTACGAAAAAGACGCAAAGGATTTTATGTTACGATATATTTAAGATACTAAATGTTAACAGTTTAAATAATAAAAAATAAATGATAAAATTATAAAAAAATGTTGTTAAATGATTTTTTAACTGTTTATACAAATATATCTAATATATATATATATATATATATATATATATATATATATATATATATATATATATATATATATATATATATATATATATATATATATATATATATATATATATATATATATATATATATATATATATATATATATACATACATATATACAGTAAAATCCCGTTAAGTTGGACTCTTAATGGGAACAGATAAATAGTACGACTTAGGGAATGTCTGAGTAAAGCGTAGCTCTTGGTATTTATAGAACGTTCGAGGAAAATTGAATAACTTTCTAACTTAGTAAAAGGGGCTATCCATATTTAATGTCTGTGTTTTTTCTAAATTTTTAAACCTCCTCGAGGTTTAAAAATTTAGAAAAAACACAGACATTAAATATGGATATTTAAAATTGAATTTAGAAATTTAATTTTTTAAATTTCTAAATTTGACTTAAGAGTGATTTTTCTCCTCTTTTTAAACCTCGAGGTTTAAAAAGAGGAGAAAAATCACTCTTAAGTCAAATTTAGAAATTTAAAAAATTAAAAGTTGCTGACATAAAATGCTATTTTATTACCAAGTCGGTCAATAATTGGCGATGGTTCATGTTGCAATTCATGCAAAACATTTTCTGCTTTACTTTTTTTAACCGGCATTTATTTATATTAGTTTCAGATACTATCAAAATAAACGGATTTGAGTTAACCATAATACAAATAAAAGTCTTAGTTAAAAAGTTATCAAATAAAAAATTTAAACTTTGGATAAAAAGCTATTAGATAAGAAAAAAGCGAGACAAAATTAAATGATTCAATTCAAATCTCAAAATCTATGTTTTCACCATCATAAAAAACCACATAAAGGTATTTATGCAACTTGAAACTCTTTAAGCAACTTGAAAAGAAACTTCTTTATCAAATTATACAAAAAACTTTTTATCCTAATAGATGCCTACGTTTTTAAAACGACTTTTTACATTAATAGTAGATGCACGATTCCATTACTTAACTAAAATATGCGCGTCATCAAAAATAACCATCTTTAAACAGTTTTGCTTGCATTGATGTAATTGATACTTAATAACACTAATGTGATAAAATTTTTTTGCAACCATACAGCTTATAAGTTTATTTTTACAATTTTGAGCGTTAGATAAGTTAGGGCTAAAAAATCTTTTGTGTCGTGTCTTTTTACATGTTCAGATATCAGAGTCTATTTATTATTTGTTTTAGCTCTTATGGCGAGGTATGTTTTTTCAAAATCTTTTTTTTGAGTTTATTGAATTTTTTGTTAATATCTAAAATTTGCATGTACCTTGTTTACATGTGACATTAATTATTTATGAACAGCTTTACCATAGAAGTCATGCTTTCAAACAACGAAATTTTTCCTTTTTTTTTTCTAAACTGACTCATTTGTTGATTATGTATTATTATGAATGATGCAATAAGTTAAAGTACTTTTAAACACTTATCCTTTCATCAATATTTTTTTTATGGGTGATCTTTTCTTACAATATAACAATATTAGTATTATATTTATCAAACAACCATTATTGATGAAGTATTGTTGTTTGGAAAATAAAAGTTGTTTAATAAATAAAATTCAATACAATTATTAAATAAAAATACTCTTTATTTGTTGTTTGCTACTTTTCAAAAGTTTGGGTTTCAGTAAATTAAAATAAATGCTTGTTTAAAATTTTTTTTAAGTAATTATCATTTCAGTTTTATTTATTTATATTAAAATGATCATGATTTTTAATTGTGAATTCATCTAATAGCTTATTGAAAAACGTAAAAAAGAAATCGACGATGGAATATCAACAGAAGATAAGGATATTATCACAATTGTCTTAAAAGATCAACAGCAAGAAAGCAGCAAACTAACAAATGATTTGATTAGAGATAATTTATTATTATTTCTCATAGCTGGTCATGAAACAACTTCTACTACTATGACTTGGTGTTTATATATACTAGGCACTGTAAGGACAGTTTATAATATGTTTTAATATATACGTTTTATAATATGTTTTATATATATATATATATATATATATATATATATATATATATATATATATATATATATATATATATATATATATATGATCGAATTTTTTGTTAGTCTGTATATATATATATATATATATACATACATATATATATATATATATATATATATATATATATATATATATATTTATATATATATATATATATATATATATACATATATATATATATATATATATAATATATATATATATATATATATATATATATATACATATATATATATGTATATATATATACATATATATATATATATATATATATATATATATATATATATATATATATATATATATATATATATATATATATATATATATATATATATATATGTATATATATATATATATATATGATCAAATTATTTGTTAGTTTATATATATATATATATATATATATATATATATATATATATATGTATATATATAACATCTTCAAATCCAAAAAGGCTGCAAGCAACCACTATTAGAATTACAAATAACTGAAAAAAAAAAAAAGGATTTTTATAAAGCAAGGTGAAGATTAATAGACAACTTAAAAGACTAAAAATAATATGATTCAGGAAAAAAAGAATGGTATTGAATTTCAAAGAACTGATGCTCGAGGAAAAATAGATAAACAACCAAGAATTTTGATGCACTTAGGAAAAGTCACAATAGAAGGACTAGATTTAATTGAATGACGAGTAGCATGAGAATGAATTTTATTTCATAGCGCAAGATACGCTGACTCTTTAGTGATGCGCCTGTGTAGTATTTATAGAAAAGAGTAAAAGAAGCAACATTACGAAATTGTGGCAATAGTTAAAGGTTAGCTGCAGGTACAGGCCAACTATAATGACAATGCGTTTTTTTCATATTGTTTAAATGAGAAAGGGATCATTCAAAGATCCGCTTCAGATATGGTAACAATGTTTTATATAAAGACGGATTTGGTACATATTTGATACTTTATACAACTGATATTTCATACTTTATAAATGGTCGAATTATAAAGTAAGAAAGCGGCAAGCACAGTAAAGAGACACAACCTTTGCAGATGCTAATGTTGCTATGGATTTGATGTATCGTTTCAAATAAAGATCGGAAGTAAGAATTTATACTAGAAGACAAAGGAAAATGACTTATTGAGTACATTACCGTTGATAAAAAAAAAAAAAAAATCTAAATTTTTGAAATAACAATTAGCTAAAACTTGAACTCAAAGTTTCATCGGAGTTCAAGTTCACCAGTCACTGAGAGTTCTATGCTGTAGTGAGATGCTTTATAAGCTCAAATGCCCCCTCAAAGCAATCAGAGAGTTTTGGCTTCTTATCAAAATAAGAACAAATGTTAGTACTATCAGCGCACAATACCACCTTAGTTGTGAGACTTTCAGTAAGATTGGTAATGTAAATTTAAAAAAGTATAAGGGCAAGGAAAGAACCTTAAGGAACTTCTGAAGTTTTTGAAACTAAAGAAAAGTTCTGTCTAAAAAATTTTATTATATTTGGTAAGAAATGATTCTTAAAGATCATGCCTGACACACCATAAAAAGAGATTTTATAGAGGAGACCAGCATGCCAAACTTTATCAAATGCTTTATAAATGTCGAGAGCGATAGCCTAAATCTCTCCACATCTATTTAATGCACGATAAAATCTACCAGTTATTACCATTAACAATTCAGCAGTACAAATTACCAAATCAACAAAAAGATAAAAATCTATGTCAATGATCAGAAAGTAAGTTGTTAGATTCAAGATGAGAGATTAAGGGTTCATATTTTTCTCCAGAGTTTAAGAAAATAGTGATAGCAGATGTCGCTTTCTAGCAAGCTGGAAAACACGACTCTGATAATCACTGGTTAAATAGGTTTGAAAACATAGACGACAGCTCTGGAGAAGACTTCTGCAAGAGATAACTAGGAAATCACTTTATTCCGAATGTATCATTCCGGTATCCGGAATGATACGAATGTCAAACAATGGATCAACCTGTTTGTCTGCTATATCAGATAGGATGTGATTAGTAGAATCAAGAGATAAGATTGATTAAAATTCTTAGCAAACAATTCAGTTTTGTCTTGAAATGAGGTAACAAAATCTTAACAATGCAAGAGTGGCGGAATGACAGATTAACACAAATTGCAGACACTGTTAAAGGTTCAGCAAAAGTCTTTGGAGCCTAATTTTTGAAAAAAATTGCAATATTTTGTGACCTAAGAATCGCGGGCTTTGGCGATAGACAAAACTCTTACACAATGATTATTAGCAATAGTAAACAGACTTTTTTTTTCTAAAGAATTTTATAGGCAATAGGTATAGGAACAATATTACAATTGAAAAATGCAGCAGCGATATATGACGAAAACAAATTACAAGATTGAGGCCTGAGTGGAAATCGTTTAGAAAAATTTAAAAATTCTATGCCAACCTGAATCAAAAAAGTTACATAAGAATGACATTTTTGAACAGGAAAAATTTCTACTTAATCGTTATCTCGAAGAGAATCACGGAAAGAGTCCCAGTTTGCTTTAATATTAGGTGTAATAGGTACAATGATTAGATTGGATGTACAGGATTCTGATTCTAGTGCAGCCATGAGATAAACAAGAGAAATATAGAACAAAAAGAAAAGTAATAGAGTGAAATAGTGCTAAATAAGGACACATAAAAGAATAGTCTGTGAATTTAAACTTAGTTTTCAGAGAAATGTCTGAATTCTAACAAATGTTAGAACTCACACATTTCTCGAAAAATCAATTCTAGCCCAAGCATGTGACTATTAAATATTACTGATTAAAAGAATATAACCATCAACACTAAAATAAAACGATGAAACAGTTGAACTCAAATTATTCTCATAAAGACTCAACAGAAGAAATTAGTCTCATAAAGACTCAACAGAAGAAAAGAAAACTTGAAGACCACAAATGATAGGTAATAATAGATTTAAAGAACCTGGTGATGACGATGGTTTTTTTGTAATTTATAGTTTTTTTTTCTTTAGTCATTTTGGAGTCAGATAAAAATTTTGACTTAATGTACAGAAAGTAGTCAGTACATTAATAGTCTACGCAATGGCCTCATTGTTAATAAAGCCTAAGACGTACGAAAGAACTGTAGATATGTCCTCGACAATGCGTACCAAAAATACAAACAGGGACACCATCCATGCGCAACATTACACTGTTATTACTGCAACATTAATCAGCTGTTGATGGAATCAATCTCTCTAAGAGCAATCATAGAGTTGAGGTAACCTGACTACCAATTACCTCAGGACCATAAAACTGAGTTTTAGAGCTGTGTTGCTAGGAGATAATAGAATGGGTTTTCTAGTTATAAAAGAGACACAAGCAAAACCTTAGCAATGAGTCAAGAAGATCCAGCATTTAATACAGTTACTCCAGGCTAATAGACGATGAATGAGTGCAAAGTTTGTCAGTAGCTAGAATTTGTCTTAACCTCTTAAGTCTTTACTTAGAAGGTCTTCTACACGACAATAGTTGAATGCAGTTAATATCTTCTAAGGATAAGTATATTTCCGAGATGCCATTTTTAGCCTTTACTCAACCAAGAGCCGCAAGGTGGGGAGTTTTTTATGTCGGAGTTTGTTTCTGTTAGTCTTTGCTTAAAAAAACCAAACCGTGAAAAGCACCAGAGCATGAGGCAGGTACTATTGTGTTACATAATATCGTTGCAGGGTAGTCGTGATG